AGATCATAAAATTTTTCGTCTATAATTACGTGACAAGTAGAACAAGCACAAAAACCTTCACAAGCACCTTTAAAAAAAAAAAAAAAAAAAAAAAAAAAACATAATAAAAAAAATGAAAAAAAAAAAAAAAACATTAAAAGGTTAATATAAAACATACCTTCAATATTTATATTATTATCATGAGCAACTTTTAATATGCTATCTCCTACTTTAGCTTTGATTGTTTTTTCATAATTATCTTGGCTTATAAATGTTACATCACTTCAAAAATGAAAAAAAAAAAAAATATATATTTTGTGTACTTCAATGTATAAAAATAAGTTATAAATAAATTGTTATTGATTAATTAAAAATATTGTATATATAATAAAAATAATAACTCATTACATTTCATCAGAATTTTGAGTACATAAATATTTGGTAGTATTAAAATAAATGAAATTATTTTTAATCTTTTTAAATAAATTCCCTTTATATATTTTTCTACTAAAAATACTAAACTCTATAAAAATAAAATTTTACAAAAGTATTATTCATCCTAAATAAATGTCTTATTTTAATGATATTTTTGTTTTTTACTTGTAATCATTTTCTTTTTTATTCTTCATTTAATTGTAAAATATTTGAATAAGTATTCATATATTTTACTTTTTGGTGACAAAACGAATAAGATAAAATTTGTTATAAATTAAAGATTGAAAAATTAATGAATAAAAAAGAATTTTAAAATTATATTTTTGAAAATCTATTATATATTTAATACACCAAAAAAAAAAAAAAAAATTTCTTTTTTTGTAAATATTTTAATTATACAAATAGCAAATTAAAATATAAAAAATGTTTTAGTAAGAAATACAATATTTTAAAGACTTTATGATGCTTTTAAAATTCAAAAATGTAATTGAAAATTCTAATTTTCTTTTAAAATATGCTAGCATCCTACTTTTAATGTTTTAACATAATCTAATTAATTTTTATGAAAATTTTTTTTTATTTTTTTTTTTAATTTTTTGTAACTGTTTTTCCTTCTTTTATTTTACATAAATTTCATATTTATCTTTTTTTAACATTAACTTTATTTTTTTTTTTTTTTTTTCTTTATTAAAAAATATATCTTATAATTTTTAAAAAAATTACCATTATACTGAAAATTTTTGAAAATTTTTTTTTTCCTTGATTTTTTCATCAATAATAATAATAATAATATTTAAATAAATATATAGAAGTTAAAGAATTATATGAAACTTTAAAAAAAAACAAAAAGATAAAATTATGAATTTTGTCTGTTTTAATTCTAAAGTGTATGTTATATATATATAATTATTTTTTTTTAATTACAGTATGGAAAAATATATTTTTTCGTTATCCAAAATTTTACAATAAGAAAAAATTAAAATTATTAAAATAAAAAATTATTCTTATTGAAGGATTTTTGAGGAAAGTACATTGATAATTTTTTTTTTTTTTTCACATTGTTAGGAGTATTTAATATTTAGATATTTTTGTGAATATATAATTTTAATTCAAAATTTTTTTTTTTTTAAAAACACAAAAATAAAATGGAAAATATTTCATCATAGAAAGTGAAAAGAGAACATTTTTCCAAAAAATAAAAAAAAAAATTTTCTTTTTTACGAAGATTACATAAAATACTCTGGTTACAAAATAAATGTCTTTTTCTTTTTTTTTTATAAAATTTTTTTTTTTACATGATTGAATATATACATAACAATAAGATTAAAATAAGTATAATTATTTTTAAATTGTTATGTTAATTCTATAATAATATTTATAATAACCAATACGAAAATTAAAAAAATATAAATTTTGCATATAATTTTATTAGCGATAAAGTGAATAAAATATAAGAATTTTTTAATGAAAATAAAAACATTTTAAATAATTACATTATTCTTACCATATATACACTCAATTATGTAAATATTTAAATTATACCAATTTATATGATAATGAAAAATACTAAGTGTATAAATAAATCATCATTAGAATTATTCTTAATCACTATTAATATTATCCAAAAAAAATAAAATTTTTAAAAACGTATAGAAGATTTTCATATATATATACAAGGATACTTTTAGAATTATAACAAGAATCTCTTATTTATTAATTTTCCCTTTAATAATATTTCAATTATGTATATTTATGTGTATTCTTTTTTCTTTTTTTTTAAAGGTAGTAAAAGAGAAAAAAAGTATATGAATATAAAAATTTTTATAAATATTTATTTTTTTATTATTTTTATTAAGTTTATTTTGAAATAATATATATAAATGAAATTATTTTATTTTTTACTTATTTTTTAAATATATACTTCATAACTTAACCATTTTTTTTTTTTTTTTTTATAATTATAGTTTATTTTAAAATAATTTTTAAAAAAAAATAAAATGTTTATATAACGCATTTCATTTTAATTTTTAGAAAAAAAATTATATTTATGAAGTTTAATAATAGCTTTGTATTTATATTATTCATGAAGAAGTACATCACATATTTTCTTTTTTTCTGTAAAATTTGTTCTTAAGAAATTTTATATTTCTTTATATAATTTAAAAAGTGTATAATCTTTAATTGTTATTTTTAAGATAATTTTATTTTTATTTTTTTTTTAATATTAATTGAATCTTAAATTTTTTTAATTATTTTATTAAATTTTTGAGGTTTCTTTTTTTTTTTTTTAATTATGAATGACTAAATAAGAAAAATTCAATAAAATAATAATGTTTTTTTTACAAAAAATTAACTTCTCTTTATCAAAATAATTATGATGATAAATTGCAAAGAAAGTCTATGTGTTATATAAAAATAAAATTAATTAGATTTTTATATTAATATATAATAATTTTGAGCAGTATGTGAATAATGATATAAAAAAAAAAAATTTTAAGTTTAAGAATTGAAATAATAATAATAAGAAATACTTGAATTAAAGAGGTAATTTCTACTATAATTTTATTAAGAAAAATATATCGAAATAATTAATTGAATAATTATATTATTTATCACGAATATGTAAAAAGATGATAGGTAAAATATTTGATAATGCCTTTAGAATTCGTACATATAATAGACTTATTTGTTTTTTAATTGGTGGATCTTTTACATATAGTTTAACTAATCCAGATATTGATACAGTATATGAATTTTTTCCTATTTTTAAACAAAATAAATATGCATATTTAACTTTTTTAGAAATTAATGAAAAGAATGATAAAATATTTGAAGAAAAATTGAAAGATTTATGCAGATTTTATCAAAAACAGCAAGGATATCTATATACAAAAATAATTAAAAGAAAAAATAATATAAATAATTTAAGTAAGTACATAATTGTATCCACATGGTTAAAAAGTGAAAATTATCTTTTAGCTTGTAATAGATTATACGGACAAATTTTAATAAAAAATATTCAAAAATACACCAATTATAATTCATATTTATATAGAATAGTTGTTGATGATTCAGATTATCTTCCACCATTTTAATTTAAATTTGGAAAAAAGTTTAAAGTTATAAAATTTTTATATTTAATTATTATGAAATTATTTTTTATAAATATTAGTTAAATATATATATATATATATATATATATATATATATATATATATATATATATATATATATATATATTACTTCTTATTTTAATAAACTTTTCAAAACATTTTGAAGTTATTTTTTGATTTAACTATATATATATATATATATATATTTTTTTTTACCAAATAATCAAAACTATCATTCATATATATAATTTTTTTTTCTAATTCTATATTCATATTAATTATAATTTTTCATAACTTAAAAATTTTGACCTTTTTTTTTTTTTTTTTTTTTTTTTTTTTTATATTTTTTTTTTTTTT